ACAAGCAAAAAAAGTCAAGGGGTTAATCGGTTTAAAAGGTAACAGGTTACCCATTGCTATAATAGGTAAAAAATATAAAGTATGATGACTTAATAAAAAATAGTTTGAAAGTATATTGCTGTAATAAAGAAAAAGAAAAGTAGAATGTTATAATAAGAAAATTTATGAAAGTAGGTTGTTATTTCATGCATTTAACCTTTTTTAAAATATATGTATTTTTAAGTATAGATTCTTAAATATATTTTTTTAAAGTATGTTTCTCAAAACAAGAATTAGCGATTCGAACTTCATGTTCCCGAGTTGCAGAGAACAATCCGAACTGAGACAGTCTTTAAATACAACCTTTAAATGAAAAAACATCGTTTTATGACATGTTTGGACATGTATTTTTGAAAGTTATGTGTGAATTAGTTTTGTGTTGGACATTGTGTGTGTACTTAAGTGTGTGTTTTTTTATATAATTATCTGATGATGTACAAATCAAATAATCAATTTGATGCTATCTACAACGAAATTGATTGATTGTGAAATGGGTTAGTAAAATTATTTAATATATCATTATTTTCTCGTTAACCTTTTTAATGAATCAAAATGTATCGAAAGTAATTCTTACGATTATAAGTAGCATAAATGTCTTATAAGGATTTATTATTTTATATCACATTTTTAATTTCAAAATTGGAAATCCAAACATCCTATTAATAGAAAATTTGAATCAAATAATTATACGTGTTATCATTTTTAGTTATGGGTCTTGTTAAACTTTTTTATAGTATCGAGTTTTATTTAATTCAAATATAAATGGTAGACTTAAATTCTATAAATTTGAACGTGTAAGCATCCAAGTAAGAAAACTAAGGTGTTAAATGGTTTGCAAAATTCAAATGAATTGAAATGGTCAATTTCTTTATTTGGTTCACATATTGAAATTGATGAAATCCTTTGGATTCCACAAATTAAAATAATTGATCATTCATTGACATAAGTGAAGGAATTGAATTTCATCACCACATACCCCTTACCACCACCAGGACCATGTTACTACTGTTACAGTCATGCCCCATCTCTAATCCCCTCCCCATCATACCACTATTGTCGTTGTCATAACCACCACCCAAACCCCCACCCATCGCCTTAATCTAACCCCCAATCCACCACTAACTATCATGTCATTACTGTTGTCATCACACACACCCATCCCATCCCCCATCACCTACCCAACATCCCTACACGATCATGCTACTACTATCATGCCTTTACACTAACCCCCTAACCACCATACCAATATTGTCGTCGTTACAACCAACACTCGCATCCACCCAACCTTACCCCAACCCACCATTGACATTATACCACTATCGTCGTCGTCATACCCACTCACCTCACTTCCGCCCTCGTCCACCTCTGCCCCCCACCCACTAG